AGAGAGAGAGATAATTGTATTAAATGCCAATGTGGTAGTAGCCAATGTAAAATAAGTTAGTAACATTTAGGCAATATGCACTCACTTTATATATAATAAATGTTACACATAATAACACGTAAATATAAGTACACATGCTGTATATTATAACACGTAAATATAGTGAGTACACTTCCACGCCAAGTAGCCCACTGTAGGGTGATGTTGACATTGTTGGTTATTAAAGCACTATGCTTAATAATCGAGTAGCACATGCTTACCAAAAAATGTTCAAGCACATACCGTAGGTAAGATATATGGCAATTAGTGCAAAAAAATGTTACCAAGCTATTTTATTTACGTGGAACTACTACCACATTGACATTAAATACAATAATCTCGCTGACAGCGCGTGAACATCACTTATGAATTTTATGATCATGTTAGTTTTGCAAACAAATGGATTGAGTCGACAATAGATACCGTGAAAGAAAGTGTTTCCCGACAAATAGTTCGCCGTCACCTCAACAGCGGAACCGCTTACGTGTTGTCCAACAGTTTTAACCGAGCGCTCGCATGTGACTGGCCTGACATACCGGCGCCCTCCGGACCCCACCGTAAAAGCATAATTATGTTGATTATTAAAGCTCTCGTCAATATAGATAATAAAGCCAAACAACTACAATAATTAATATTTATTTGATCTATTATTTAATTAGTTACAATTCTTATTTTAAATTTATTTTAATTAAAAATACTTTACTAGAAATTGTATTGGTTTTATTTGCAGATTATATTAGGCTTTGATGCTTATTGATTGCTCAAGGCATTTATATGCTCTGTCAATTAATTTCTAGCCAAATAGATTCTACAAATTTTATTAATGAATGGACTAAAAATTACATTCACTTGAGTTATTCAAATAAAAACAATGAAAAGTTTGTAAATTCAAAATTTTATTCATGAATATTTGATTAATTTTAACAAATATTATACTTATAATTAAAGTATTTTATATATTGGTGCCATTACTTACCGCCCCATTTAGCTCGGGCTCCAAACACAGGCCACGACTTGAACTCATCGGAGCTCATGTATGCCTTAATGGCGGGCAGGGCTTCAAATCTATCCAAATACTGGCCAATATTTGGATGTTTGGCCACAGACTCGGGCGCATACAATCTCAACTTATCCAACAATTCATACGCATGAAAGTCTACGTAAGACAACTGATCTCCGGTTAGCCACTGTTTGTCCGCCAAGAACTTCGCCAACAGATCCAACTGAGGCTCGAGAGTGCCGGTGATATAGGCCGGGGGTTTGGCCTCTCCATCGCCCGGTCCAAACATTATGCCCAAAAATCCCTGCAACACATCCTGAAGCTGTTGCTCAGCCATGTCTTGTACGGCCCGTTGGGGGTCAGCGGTGGCCGACAGGCCGTGCTTTTCACCCAAGTATCGCATTATAGCCATACTTTGGGTCAGTTTAAGATCGCCGTCGATATAGTAGGGAATGTTAGGAAAGTCCAAACCCAGTGTAAACTTTTCCGACTGCCAGTCCTTAGGGTTGGCGTAACGCTTGTCCGTGAACTGTATGCCCGCGTACTTCAATAGTAAGCGTATGGCCTGTGCCCGACCCCTCCACGACCAGTAGCCCACTGTAGGTGATGTTGACATTGTTGGTTTAACTCGTGCTGGTTCAGAATTATTGAGATCTAGTTAGTTTTTTGTATTATAATTTTAACTAATACTCAAAATAATACCTTAATAATGAATATAAAATTGTTAACTTAAAAGTTTAAGCTGGAAAAAATTTTAATACAAACTGGTTAGATTGTAAATTTTTATTGTTTGCAAATACTACCTAAATAACAGTGAAAATAACTATTGGTAATAACAGTTGCAATGTATATCGTTTACTTATATAGTTTTTGTACAGATACAGTTGAGGTAAATTATTACAAGGTAAAAATTATCATGTAAACAGGATTGTGTTGGAATAAAATTGTGAATGTCACTTAAAAATGTGCTGATTGAACATTGTATTTGAAAAACAAACTTGCCTGGAATATTCTCGAACAATGATTGTTTAATTAAAGTGATTTTATTAATAATAAATTCTTATTATTATTAATAAATTAATAATGTTCAATTAATTAATATTTTTGTATTTCGTAATTGTAAAATAATTTAAGAATATCATATGAGTTTAAAAATTAAATACAAAGATTCATTTTCTTTAATAAATAATCATATTACTAAATAAGCTAGATCAAATCTGTAAAAAGTAAAATAGAGTTCCATATGTCTAATATTTTATATTAAAAGATTATTGAGATCACGTGATTAGAACCCAAAAATTTTCGGGTCAAATCGATTGGTCCTGGTTTCTGTAAACGATATACATTGCAACTGTTATTACCAATAGTTATTTTCACTGTTATTTAGGTAGTATTTGCAAACAATAAAAATTTACAATCTAACCAGATTTGAGTATTAGTTAAAATTATAATACAAAAAACTAACTAGATCTCAATAATTCTGAACCAGCACGAGTTAAACCAACAATGTCAACATCACCTACAGTGGGCTACTGGTCGTGGAGGGGTCTGGCATGCTTTTATCTAATTACTGTATATAATTGCTAATCCGGAAAACTACTTAAAAATACTTTACTAGAAATTGTATTATTTTTATTTGCAGATTATATTAGGCAGATTTGATGCTTATTGATTGCTGAAGGTATTTACAGTATACGTTCTATTAATTAATGAGAATTAATGAAAATTATTATAACATAATTATGATAAAATTGTTGCGATCCGAGCGGTCAGTTTGGGTACTAATCGGGGATCTGTAATATGCGGAACCGGTCGCTACTTATCCCCATAACGTTACGGTAAAATAAGTACACATTTGTGCCGATGAACAACATTTATTGATTGTATGTATGAATGGGTGTGTGAGTGAAGTGCAGACATTGCGGGCACTCAAGACTGGTTGAGTGGAAGTCAGACACAACACTAAAGATATAATGTACAGAATCGGGGCTTTTATGCCGTGTTGTATGTGTTGTACATAATGTTAGACAATACATAAGAATTGTATGAAAGGTATATCATGTGATATACATGTGAATGTGTTAACTGGTATTAACCAGTATATTATGTGACAGCAATTGTCATATTAGATGACAATCCCTGGGCTTTGAGGCTATAGGAGCCGAATGGGGTGTATTGTGCGGGACTGCTATGCAGTGATCGTATGTCTGTTTCTGTGGACAAAACAGGGGTAACCAAAGAGGTATTTCAAACGGCAATAAAATAATAGCAAATTTATTTATGATATAGAATAGCCATAAACTTAAACTGGAATTCCATGTTAAATCCTATAGAGAGGGAAAGGTAGACGCGCGATTTTATAAACCACATTCTAAGAATTACATTATTTAATTGTGACTTAAAATTATATTCACTTGAGTTACTCAAATAAAAACAATTAATGAAAATTTCATAAATTTAAAATTTTATTCATAATTATTGGATTAATTTTAACAAATATAATATTTATACTTAAAGTATTTTATATATCTGCGCCATTACTTACCGCCCCATTTTGCTGTGGGTCCAAACGCAGGCCACGACAGGAACTCATCGGAGCTCATGTATGCCTTAATGGCGGGCAGGGCTTCAAATCTGTCCAAATACTGGCCAATAGTTGGGTGTTTGGCCACAGACTCGGGCGCATACAATCTCAACTTATCCAACAATTCATACGCCAAAAAGTCTACGTAAGACAACTGATCGCCGGTTAGCCACTGCTTGTCCGCCAAGAACTTCGCCAACAGATCCAACTGAGGATCGAGAGTGCCGGTGATATAGGCCGGGGGTTTGGCCTCTCCATTGCCCCGTCCATACATTATGGCCACCAATCCCTCAAACACATCCTGAAGCTGTTGCTCAGCCATGTCTTGTACGGCCCGTTGGGGGTCAGCGGTGGCCGACAGGCCGTGCTTTTCACCCAAGTATCGCATTATAGCCATACTTTGGGTCAGTTTAAGGTCGCCATCAATATAGTAGGGAATGTTAGGAAAGTCCAAACCCAGTGTAAACTTTTCCGATTGCCAGTCCTTAGGGTAGGCGTAGCGCTTGTCCGTGAACTGTATGCCCGCGTACTTCAATAGTAAGCGTATTGACTGCGCCCGACCCCTCCTCGCAAAGTAGCCCACTGTAGGTGATGTTGACATGGTTGGTTTACCTCGTGCTGTTATAAATTGTTTAGATCTAGTTAGTTTTTGTATTATTATTTTAACTAATACTCAATATAATACCTTAATAATAAATATCAAAAATTCTAACTTAAAAGTTTAGGCTTGATAGATTTTTAATACAAACTGATTAAATTGTAAATTTTTAATTGTTTTAAATACTACCTAAATAGCAATGAAAATAACTATTGGTAATAATAGTTGCAATGTATATCGTTTACTTATATAGTTTTTGTACAGATACAGTTGAGGTAAATCATTACATGGTAAAAATTATTATTTAAACAGGATTGTTTTGGAATAAAATTGTAAATGTCACTTAAAAATTTGCTAATTGAACATTATATTAGAAAAACAAACTTGCCTGGAATATTCTTGAACAATGATTGTTTAATAAAAATAATTTTTTTAATAATAAATCATAACATTTTTGTATTTTGTAACTGTAAAATAATTTAAGAATATAAGTTAAAACATTAAATACAGAAATTTATTTTCCTTAATTAATATAATCATGTTATTGTCATTGACTTTATTATAGCAATTAAGGCAAACACTCATGTATTTTATAAATATTGTAAATCTAAATCTAAGTTTACCTAAAATAAAAGTACTCTATAACCATAAAGGCAAATCATAAACCCTCATTACAATTTAATATAAATGTATATAGGTATACTTTTTGACTTTTTTTATTGATTGCCTAATCACACATAACTTGAGAGGGTTAAGAGAGTTAGTAATATAACATGTCTAGTTGATTTTTAAAATTATATAAAAAATATCTTATAAAATTTTGGTTACTAACAAAAATCATCAAATAATAAATTATGATTACAATAAAACAAAATAAAAAATTAATAAAATCTCATTCAACTTTAATTGAAAACATAATAATAATTAATTACTTATAGATAATACATTAATAAACAAGATTATATAAATTATTTAATGCATTTTAAAATAAGTTTTTATTTAAAAAACAATCAAAGTTAATGTTATTTATTTGCAATTCCTATCAAACCATTGTTTGACATATTTCTTGCGCAACCAATCATTACGACTGTCGGCGCAGTCGGTGTCCGAATAGAGGGTGTGATGAGTACTGGAGCTCAGGTACGGCTCAAATACCGTACGATTCACGTACTGAAAGCCGTCTCCGTATGTATACAGCGAAACACTACTGCCTTTTGCAATACTGGCAAACATATCGGCGCTCAGCGGCCGGGAGTTCAACGGATTGCCGCTAACGTTAAGCTCAGCGGCAAATGTGGGCACCAGTCGTATGGCGTCGGCCGACACATTGTCTATACGATTATTTCGCAGGTTTACGCTCAACAACTGACCCGTCAGGTTAAGCGCACGGCTCCCCAAACTGGTCAAACGGGTGTTGTCAGTGATGGTCACTTTGTGCAACGCGGAGGCCGAGTGCAGGGCGTTGGCCGGTATAGCGGTGAGGCTGGTGTTGATTAGGGTTAGCTCGCGTAGATTGACGGCCGGCGCCAGGGCTTTGAACAGATCGTAATCGCCGTCAGCGTCACCGACGGGCGAGTCATTGATGTATAGACTGTTCAATGCGTGGCCGACCGGTCCGGACAATGCCCGGGAGTGTACGCGCCGTAGGCTACGGGTGCCGAATATCTCGATCCCAGCGAACTGAACGTTGCCAAACATATCGGCCGGCAATTCAGTGATTTGTGTGTTGGTTAGCCTAAACCGGTAGAAACCCGGACCCGAACTCAGCCGGTAAAACATTGCCTTCAAGTCTAACGTGTCGGTGCCCTCGCAGTATATGTATACGTTATACCCTACGGGGGGTACAATTTCTCTGAAACATGTGCATGGTGCAATGTCGCTGGGCGCCGGGCAGTTTGGGTCCGGGTATGATTCGCCCAGTGAAAATATTGTTATGACAAATAACGTGTAGATTAGTTGACATTGACCTAGAGGGAAATTTGTATAATTTGTTATTATTGTTGCAAATTATTATGATTTATATAGTATTTATTTTAACTTACCCATTTCGAAAATTTATTATTTAAAAATTTAACTTCTACAGTATTATATGAATATCTTTTAGGCTTGTTATGTAGCATAGACATATTTTCTCAATTTATAGGTGTTCAAAATGTACTCAATCCTTAATTCTGATGTGCTTTATCTTATTTAACTGTTATTTAATCTGAAAGGAACTTATTTTATTTAAGTATACAATACATTTTTGATTTAAGTATCATTGATTTGGCTGGTATTTAATTAAAGAAATACCGTAAAAATGACTTGCTTATATCGCAGATAGATAGTATATTCCTACTTGTAACATATAATAATATTATTATATTTGGTACAAATATATAATGGGTTAGCGTAATTACATACAATTTTACAAATATATTTTAATATATTGATAAATTCGATACAAATTACGGAAGTTATACATTTTTAATAACATAACATAACATTACATAACAACCATAAATATTTGTTCCATTTAGCAAAACTTAAACCTATTACTACTGCTTTTTAATTTGTACAATAAGTACTGTATCATTATTTTAAATTTTAATTGTTGATGGTAAAATACTTTTTTTTGCTAAATACTACTGCTAAATGTTTATTTCTTATAATGAATTGAGAACAAAAATAGATTATATTTTTGTAAAATAAGTTTAAAATTAATTATTATATCATTAGTAGTGATTCATTACGATTAGTTTTATTATTTTTTATTTTACATAATATTATTGCCATCCCTAATGCTTACAAACTCACACAGCATTTGATATGCAATGGGATTACAGGATTACAAGAACAAGTAATAAATTCTAAGGACAAATGTCCTTATGGTTAATACAATTTAATTGTAAAGTTTTGTTACAAATAGATTAAATTATAAGATTAATTTATTACTCCATTCATTAAATACAAGTTGTATTAATACAAATACAAGTTGTATTATACAACTTTTTAGTGCATATCCTGATTTGAAAAGTATGTATGAATAAATTAAATGTTGGTTATACATTTTGAAAAAATTAATTATTTATGCTACATTTTATTATGGATAACACATTTTTCAAATACTTTTAATCAACATAATTTTAGTTATTTACTAAATTCTAGTATCAGTTCTGTTACATAAAAATTATATTTAAATAATGTTTATTTGCAATACCTATCAAAACATTGTTTGGCGTATTTCTCGCGCAACCAATCGTTACAACTGTCGGCGCAGTCGGTGTCCGAATAGAGGGTGTGATGAGTACTGGAGCTCAGGTACGGCTCAAATGCCGTACGATTCACGTATTGAAAGCCGTCGCCGTAAACGGATAGAGAAGTATAACTGCCATCACTTATACCGGTAAATGTCTGTTCACTCATCGGCCGGGAGGACAACGGATTGTCGCTCAGGTAGAGCACAGCATAATTACTGGGCAATAGTTGGATAGCACCGGGCAACTGGTCGACAATAGCTTTACTTTGAAGATTTACATTAAAACTAATTTCCCTGAGATTAACCGCCCCTTCACCTAAACTGGTCAGCCGCTTGTTGCCAGCGATGGTCACACTTATCAGTGCCGGGGGCCGAGCATTGGCCGGCATAGATGTCAAGTTTGTATTAATTATACTGAGTACGTAGAAACCGGTGACCGTGGTGGTCCATTGTACATGTGCACGGGTAGATCTTATCCGAGCTAGGACAATTTGGTGGTGCAATGAACCACTGATTAATTTCACAATTCTGGTAATCATTGATACGATTTAATACATCGAAGACGAGTCCCATTGTCTCAAACAGTGACTCAATAGACACACCTCTTCGCTAATGGAACCGCTTTCCCGAAGAGTCAATGCAATGGAGTTAAACAGATCTGGAGTCTAGTCTCAAGAGTTGACACGAGATTACCGAAGACTCGTTACTCGTGTGGTCACTGCGGATGGCCGGGAGCTGATGGTCACCAATAATGCCTAATATTTACAAATAAGTGTATTTTACAATTGGTAAATTTTCAAAATTACTAATTTTTGGAAAAAACATTTTAGCTTATAAAATTAAAATACATATTCATCTCATAACATCTAATTTAAGCTTGATAAATGTTTATTATTACAAATACATTACATAATTAATTGAGCATAAAATAAAATGTGTTTTGTAAGTTATTCAATGTGACAGTTATTTATTTAATTTAAAACATGTTCATATTTTGTATACCAGACCAATATAATGGTATGGTTATGGTATATGCATTGAATATTCAGAAAATAACCAGTTAAATCAATTAATTTTATCTATAGACATCCCAGATAAAACTTTATAATTAATGTTTATCTGGTAATCATACGATACAGTCATTACTAGATTAAATAGAACAGGTAAATACAAAATTATTGCATAAATACCTTTTTGAAAATAAATTTTAATTAATGAAAATTTTAAATATATTTTTTAATTAAATATAAAACATGAATTACTATAAAATTAAAACATTTAAATATTAATAAGCAATGTTTTATTTTATAACATTGTCTGGGTTCAGCTAATTTTTGAGCATATTAAAATTACAAATAGATTCTAAATTACAGGATTAGACGATTACAAATAAAACTCAAAACCTTAACTAGTATTACTCATTATTTACATTCATGAGGTAGGCTAATCTGTGGGTTTTGGGTTATTACATTCATGAGATACTATTTATTTTGTCAATGACATTTTGTACAACGTTCTAAACCATATATGAACTGGACTGTCACATAATATGTTATTATAAAATTCTTACATTTTCCCAATTCAAGAGGCTGTGAATTGTGGTTATTATATAAGTCAACTAATAAATTATCCAGTATAAAATATTAATGTTTGAAAGGGATTATAATAATTAATTTATTTAACATAATAAAACATATAACAATTATTTCTAAAATAATAAATATATGTTGGAATGTTATATTCTTGACAATTATAATGATTAGTAGAATTGAGGATTAACTGTACAATGGATATATTTATTTTTAGAGTTTAAAATAATTACTCAATTTAGGGTATTCGTCTGATTGGTGTTGATAATAATGTTTTCAAATCAGACTTATTC